TACATATACTAATTATTCTTGGTGATAATCATTCCTGATTGTTCATATTTTCACCGTTTTATTATATTCTTAATGTTGGTTGCATATATATTGATACAATTATTGGTCATCTCAACAGCCCTTGGCAAATTTTGGGACACGTTGATACTGCAATTTATGGTGAACCAAGCAGTGGTCTTACACGTCGTCAGGTTCAGTTATAAAATTTTGGTTTTGGATGGATTCATCTGCTCAATTCTTGAACTGATCTCTGAGCTAATTAGAGTTCACCTTTTTCCATCATAAAGGTTCTTGAGAAATACCAAGTGTATGGGGACACAGTGTTGGGAATGTATGGACGTAAGCCAAATGTGCGAGATATAATGAAGGTAAGGAAATAATGTACCTTTGCTATTCATGTCATTTCCCGGGTAGCATGATATTAACAACCATACCTAACATCTACTATACTTTTAAACCAAAAAGGGAATATACTATTAGTTACACTTTTGACTTTAAATAGTTATGTATAGGTTCCTTTTGTTCTTCTCTTCTTGCGGTTCAATACTGGGACTCCTTAAACTGTTCTCATTCTCTATTAGGGGTTAAAGATTAAACATCATTATGGTTTTTTTTCCCCCAATTCCTTTCATCTGCTTATTACATGTTATGTGTTACAGAGATCATTAATGATATTTACTGTTTACCTCCAATATACTAGTTTCTTCTATCAGATGATATCGTCTTACTTCGATGCAGCCCTTGCTTAATTTTTTCTACTCAGAGCCTGGGAATGGACTTTGGAAGCGCAAAGCAGATGCTGCATTCCAAAATTGCACAGTATGGTTGCTATGACAAAGTCTAGTTGGCAAAATTGTGTTTTTAGCGTCTTAATTTTATTTTATTCGAATATGTTTTTTTGACTTTAAAAATTAAAGTGCTTACATAGCACCAACGTGGCTTCATACTTAACATTGATTACTCCGTCCTGCTTTCATTCTGTTAATCTGAACATTCCTCTTTCTCTAGAAAAGACAGGGACAGGGAGAGATTATCCCTTGAACTAATTGATTTGTGCACAGAATGGGGCATTGCAATAGAAATATCCGTACTATGATGTGTGTATTCTCTTGAAAATTAGGGATGTCCAGGTATTGAAATATTTATCTGAACTAATCAAGTGCTTGGGTCTTTAATAACATGGGAATTGGGTTCAAACACTCTTTTTGGGCTCTTAGAACGTGTTCTTATTTTTCTTAGCATCCAAGTGCACATATACCAATGGCTCAAAGCCATGATGGCTTTGTTGGTAGTCTATGATGTGTCACGTCAAGCTCGACATGTGCAATTGCCCATGTCATCATCCCTGTAAGCATTCTTGATCTAGAAATTTTTTGAACACTTTGGAGGGCTTGTTGGGCTCTAGGACCTTTCTATTGAATGTCTCCTAGTATGCTATCACTTATGATTAGGTCACGATTTTGTTTTTGAGATCCTGTAATTATACAGTTTGTAGCCCTATTTTGGCGAAAAAAAAATCTTACATCGCAATATACAGTTCAATGTGAATGTGCTTTGAGCTCCAGTTATTCCATCAGATGTGTAAAATAATGAACTTTTCTTGGACCCATGCAGACAATCAAATCATTTTTAGAAGAAACCCTTGTGGCAATCCCTGACTCAGTCTTGGATTCACCTATTGGGGAGCTACGACGTGGTCGCACAGATCTTTTTGCCAACATAGATAGTATGCTGCCGCCTCCATACACAAAAACAAGAGAACAAGATGCTATATATGCTTGAGTTTTACATGTATTCTTCAAATCGAGGTCTTAGGTACAGTTATATTGTTATTATTCCCTTATATTTTTAATTGGGCTCATGTATTCTTCAAGTCCATTTTTGGGAGAGAAAGTGGTGGGTCTAGTGTAATTCTATACGTTAAAATATTAATGCTTTGGTTAGCTGCTTGTTGTAAGCGATTGACTTTTGATATTAATGTGTTCATTGTAGAGACTTTAAGCAAAAGATGGAATTTGCTATTATGTGTGGTGGTTGATTTTGCTGCTATTTTGTGGATATTAACCAATAAAAATTCGCTGCAATATGATGCGCCCCCCATTACAGCTGTTAATAAGAGCTGGCTTGGTCTTAAAAGGCTAGCTCTTGAAGGATCGGGCTCTAAAAATGCTCGCCTCTTAAAGTATGTATACATCAAAATTATGATATTATTAAAGTTTGGTCTTTGGACATATGGGCTTAGAGTGTAAGAGGATTGTCCTTTTTTGTTATTTTTTAAAATTTAAATTCTTTTCCATTATTTTGAAATAAAAAAATAAAACAATAAAATTTCTAAAAAAATTTATTCAAATTATAAATATTAGTAAACATTATATAAAAAAGTATCAAATATTAATAAATTATTGTCCAAACTCTAAAAAACCAAAATCAAATAAAACAACAAAAGCAAAAAAGATAAAACCCAAGCAGTTGAAAATAGCAACATCAATATGATTATTATCTTCATCTTCATCATAATCATCAAGATCAATAATATTTGATTGTTCTTTATTACTGGTGGGCTCTTCTTAAGTGATGAAAATATTAAGATATTTGTTTTCATAACTCTTATCTAAAGTAAAACAATGCAATAGTTACGAGTACAAATAAGAGTCTGAATATTTGTTAGGACAAGAGAATTTTTGTACTTTGTTAAGATATATGAACCGACAACAAAAGAAGATTCACTAACTACTGTAGTGATTGAAATACTAAGAATATCAACTATTATCCTTGAAAGAGTTGAAAATTAATTTTAATTATTATTCTACTAATTTAAGACATTTAATTTTTTTTAATTATTTGGCTTAAGCATTAGTTCTTCTAAATAATTTTCTAGTTTAAACCTGTCCATAAACGACTAATCCACAATTATATAAATATCTTGATAATAATAAGCAAATAAGTGAGTTTAAAAAGATTAGCTCTCAGTCCTAACGGGCTGACTTTTTTATTTTTAAAAGGCTAATCTTTTTAAAGTTTAACTTCTTTTTGACTTCTTAAAAATACAAGGGCCAGTTCTTGGCTCCTATTGGCTTGACTTGTTTTGACAGCTATACCATCCATCCAAAAAACAAAAGAGAGAGAAAAAATATGCACTTTGGGGGGGGGGGACGAAAAATTTATTTTTAAGTTGTTACTTATTATATATGCTTTAGTCATGTACGTAATTTGTTTTAAGATCCATATTTTATGACTCAAAATATTCAATATGAATTTTTTTCCTTTTATTTAAGTTGATTTATGGGTTACGTATGTAAATAATTTTATTATTTTTTGTGTGAAAGAAGTAGGAAAATAATTATATATGCATGTATGTTAACATTTGCATTCTAAAATTTTTAAAATTTTCGTATCTTTTGGATCACATTCTGTCATATATGTGTACTCACCAAGGCGTACGGTTGTATAATTAATATAGTTATTTATTTATTCTTAACAATTATTTTATGGGAAAATGACACAAAAATGACACCTCAACTTGGAAATACCAAAGTGATCACTTGAATTTGTAAAATACCAATTTAGACACAAGTGATCATTTGGGATTTTTAAATTTATTGAAATGATCATATTGCCTTTCATTTTATTTATTATTTTTTAAAAAACCAAAAGCTCTACTGGCCACCGGTTGTAGGAGCTCCAGCAGCTGGCCGACAATCAGTCGTCGGAGCTCTGGCGGCCGGCAACAATTTTTTTGAAATTTTTACAATTGAAGTAAAAAATTAACAATTTTTGTAACGCTATTAACAAGTTCAATATAGCAGTTAACAACAGATTTTTCAGAAAACTCAAAAAGTAGCATTTTTTACAACTTAAGTAATACCGTTAACAAGTTTCGTAATTTTATTAACAACTTCGATATTATATTTAACAATAGTTTTCTTAAAAATTAAAAAAAAAGACTTTTTTTTACAACTTTAGCAACTTTTTTTAAAATTTCTTTTTGCAACTTCAATAAAATAGTTAACAAGTTTTGTAATACTATTAACAAGTTCAGTATAGTAGTTAACAACATGTTTTTTAGGAAATTCAAAAAGTAACATTTTTACAACTTCAGTAATGCCGTTAAGAAGTTTCGTAACTCTATTAACAAATTTGGTATAGTATTTAATAACAAGTTTTCCAAGAAATTCAAAACGTAACATTTTTACAGTTTCAATAACACGGTTAATAAGTTATGTAATGATATTAACAACCCTCATAAAGGTTGATATTTTAATATTAGCTCCCCTTTTTTCACTTATTAGGCAGTCATTATAGTCATGAGAGTTGTTAATATCATTACATAATTTGTTAACTGTATTACTAAAACTGTAAAAATGTCACTTTTTGAATTTTTTAAAAAACCTGTTGTTAATGCTATATCGAACCTGTTAATAGAGTTACGAAACTTGCTAATAGCATTACTAAAATTGTAAAAATACTACTTTTTGAATTCTCTGAAAAACCTGTTGTTGATTATACTGAATTTGTTAATAACATTACAAAACTTGTGAAGTTGTAAAATTTTTTTTTAAAAAGTAGTTGCTAAAATTGTAAAAATATTTTTTTTAATTTTTAAGAAAACATGTTGTTAAATGTAATACTGTAATTATATAAATTTTCAAAGAAATTACTACCAGCTGCCGTAGCTCCGGTGAAGGCGGCCGCCGCTGGCAATAGAGCTACAATGACCGGCAAACGAGTGAAGGCTTTTGATTTTTTAAAAAAGAATAAATAAAATAAAAGGTAATATGATCATTTCAGTAAATTTAAAAATCTCAAATTGGTCACCTGTGTCTAAATTGATATTTTGCAAATTTAAATGACTATTTTGATATTTCCATACCTGGAGTGTTTTTTTGCGTCATTTTCTTATTTTATGTCTAATAAAAAAAAAAAGGAAAAAGAACGCTGCCTGGTTTTTCAGGTTATCAAATCCTATGCATCTTCTTCTCAATATCTCCGTTATTTTCATTCCTAAACTCCGATGGTGATGGAGTCGGAGGCCAAGATCGGCATGACCGATTGGGGTTCGCAAACGAACTGGACTATTGCTTCTGGTTCTCTCAAAGATTGTATCACCTTCGAATCCTCACTGTCTCTGGCCAATGAAGTTGGCGATGAAGTAGGAGCGACCACTGTGGATTCGACACCTAAATCCTCTCTTATCCTCTATCCTGCTTCAGCTGATTCTGGCCCTTGCGAGATCAAGAGTAAGCCCCAAGTTTGATTCACCTTTTGTTTCCATTCAAGCTGTAAATTTTACAGTACTGACAAATTTATCCCATCTTCAATTTCTTGAGGTCGGATGAATATCTTGGCAAAATTCATGAATGTGTGGTGCTGAATTTCTTTTCTTTTTTAACATATATTAGCATGTTGGTGAAATTTGGGCATGCTTTGCGAATTCGAGTTTGTGAAGTTTCCATTTGAATTCTACGTGTGATGTTTTTGTACTAGGGGTCATTAATCTGGTTCATATCATCTTTGTTGAATTGAAAATTCTGTTGGATGGCGTTTTTCTTTATGGTTGTTCTTTGGAAGCTAGAACTAGATACCTTTTCTTTTAGTGACCTTGCAAGTTCCACAACTCCGCAATGCTTATTCTTATGGAGCAAGTGCCTTCTCAAGTTTCTATTTTTTAAATACGTGGAATTGATAATCAAATTAATTATTAGTTAGCACTTGATTATGGATTGGGTTTTTGACATGGAAAAATTCTTGTGTAGCTCTAGCCTCTTCTAAACTTGGGGTCTTGTGAGTTGAAGTTTTCTCTCATTTTCTCTCCTTCCTCATTCTTCCTCCTTGAATAGATCCTTCAATCATTTCACAAATGTTGTTTATCAGTGTTGTGATTAAGCATATCATGTGTGTTTTCCATTATCTAGTTGAATCCACTGAGCCGAGCCTTTTGCTTCCATGTCTAGTGTTGAATACTAATTGCTTGTTTCTTTAAGGGAAAAAAATGTTTCTTTGGCTACTTAAGGGAAGATTTCTTGTTCTGCAGTTAGCTTTGCACAAAAGCATGAGGTCTTACAAGTTTATGTTCGAAGTACAGCCAGAGTGTATGAAATTTACTGTGAACCTGATGTGCAGAGTAGTAATGAGTATCTCTGTACTGTTCGCTGTGGCATTGCTGCTAGAGATGGAGAGGTTCTTCATGCATTAAATGTTGAAGAAGTTGTTTCTTCACATATTAAGGGCTTTAACAAAGAGTTGGCTGAAGAAAATAATAGAAGTGAAGATGACTGGGTTGATGTAAAAATTCCTGATTCTCCTGTGTTGGATAGGGGAAACCATGGTTTGCAAACAAAATCCTGTAGTAACTCAGCAAAAAGCAGTCAGGTGTGCTGATCCAGTCTTTCCAATTGATTACTCATTCTGTTATGCCATTTGATTTCATTACTCTTTTTATTTCTTGGTATTCTTGCTCTCTTTCTTGGAGTGCAACCCACTGTTGTTAGTTATATTAACTGTCTTCTTCTACATTTGGGGGGCTAAAAGAACCAAGAGTGGAAGATAAATAATGCAATCAATTCAGCAACGGATTGTGTCGATGTTCTCTTTTGCTGTTTGTATAAATGTAAAACATGGAGAATGGAGAAGACTGAGGAGCAGATGGAAATCAAAGGAAGAAGTCTCGAAAGTTGTTTTTTGTTTGTTGTATTTTCTTCAACCATCTGACTTCTTGCTGACCTAGTGATTTTTTACTGATTCAAAAGGAATGGGATTTTCCATCATGTTCTCTCCTTTTCTGTTTTTTTTTTTTAATTGGCCTCTGATGAATTGCTGTCTTTTTCCTTAACTGTTGGTCACTCTAAAACGACAACACAAAATATGTACATGCATCACAAATCTCGCTGTGAAAGAAGAGCTTTCGAGGATGACAATATTTGCCTGAGGAGGATATTTTGAATGCCATGCGTGCTTTCTCTTCTAATAATTAATTCTTTTATTTATGGAATGATGACAAATTTGGCATTAAATAATAGTAGCCATACTCAAGACTTTTTGGCATATTGTTCTTTTTTAACTTTTGCTTTTTCACCATGTTCCTTTTCTTTTATTTCTTTCTACGACGAAGTAATTTTCCCTTAGTTGTGGTTTTCCTCTATTTTTCTCAAGTAATTTTTCGTCTTTTATAATAAAGAACATGCTGATTGATGGAAAATTTCAGGATCTCTATGAGGCTACCGCAGAGACCTCTGATGTAAATCCCTGCATCTCTGTCACACTTCGTCTGCTTTCACTCCAGAATAAAGGCTGTATTTGTATTGATGAGATTTATGTGTTTGCTGATCCTGTTGCTCTAGCTGATTCTGAAAGACAAGAGAGCAATGCAGAAAGCTCGTCTGGCAGTTCTCTTATGTCTATGTTTCTTCCGACTCTGATGCAATTATCAAAGACAACTGCTCTGAGCCACATAAATGAGAAGTATCCACCTGTTAGAAAGGAAAAGCTATATTTTCCAGAAGTTGATGTGGGAAGAAGTCATCCATGTGACTCTGTAATTCACACCCAGCCAGAAGGAAGAGCTAGCAAAACTGATCATCAAGAAGGGGAGCTTCGAAAGGTGAATGAAGAAAGTGTGGGTCCATCTCAATCAGACATGCTCTTGCAAGATGCTTCTGTTGATAGCAATCCTACAACAACCTCCCCCGCTGCTATAACAGAGATCAACCAGAGTGAAACACCCTCACAAGCTACTAAAATAGAGAGCAACGACAGTGATGTGCCCTCAAAAACTACGGCTGTGGAGAAAAATCGTAGTGACTGTCTGGGTGTTAATGTGGAAAGGGCCCTGGAGCAGCTTGTGTCTCGAATGGACAAAATGGAAGCAATCTGTTTGGGCTTTCAAGAGAAAATGCTAATGCCCATAAGCAGCATTGAGGCTAGGCTCCAGCAAGTAGAGCAGCAGCTTGAAACACTGACCATCAAATTACAGAATTCTGGATTCCCATCGTGCTCTAGAACTTATGCTCCAGATAGTTCCTGCACTCAGTCAGATGCTAACTCATGTGACAATTGTCATGGTAGTAGTGTCACTGGAGGATTGAAACCAGACAAGAACGGTTCTCATATTGAAGGACTATCTGTCTCCTCTAACGATAGTTCTGATTCAGCTAATGCTACTCAATTGCACCCTGGTCTCATAGTCACAGCTCCTGAGTTTCTTGATGCTGAGGATGAAGAAGAAAATAAAACACTGGGATTAGAAACAGCTTCAAATGATAAAGAGAGGCAGCATATGTCAATTGATGATGCTGTAGCTTCTGCATTAGCTGGATTTTTATCTTCTGTAACTTCAGAAACTCCGAGGTATACCAAAAGTCTTGTAGTCAGAGCCCCTGAGTTTATAAATGAATATGATCATGAAAACAATGATGCTTCACCTAGAACTTCATATGAGATAGAAAATAATGATGATTCAAACCATTTCAAAGACACGGAGAATATTAGCAGCTTGCAAGAGTCAACTTCAAACAGTGTTCATTCGGAAACAGAAAAGGTGAACAGAGGTCCTAATGATGAAGAGTCAGAAGGGGCTGTCAAGGAATCTGAAGAATATTGCCAACATAGCGCTGGAGAAGATGACCAGAAAGAGGCGCGTGTAGAACCTGGCGTCCTAGCTGAGCATGATCCAGGAACAAGTTTTGAGCATACTGTGGAGGATAGCGAAAGCAGAAATATCAGTGTTCAGATACATGATAGTTTATCATCCACGAGTGACATTCCTAAGCTGTGTCAGACAGATAGTGTCTCTAGTAGTTCCACTGAGGGAGAAGTTTGTGTGAACACTGACTGTACAGACACAGTAGCGACAGAAGTCCCAAAAAAAGCCTCTCACGAAGATATTATGGAGAATGTTCTTGGATTTTCATGCGGTTCCTCTGTGGTGGATTTCAAAACATCAATCTTAGATGTAAAATTCATCTCTCGGGAAAATCATGTTACCAAGCCTTTCCTTGCAGCTCTTGTTGACACTCCAGAGACGAGCTCTCAGGATGATCCTGTGGGTGGAAACAGTGATGATCTTCCTATTAACGAACAATTTAAGAATAATGGTAATCTTTCAGTTGCAGAGCAGAATGATTTGATCTCAATAGATGTTGCAGAACCGGTGGATCCAGCTATCAATGCCCGTTTTTCAGTGGATAAGGACTATTGTGCTTTGATAAATGTGCCCGTGGAGGTTCAGGGTGATGACCTGCAAGAGGACCGTAAACGCAAACGCAACGAGGATGAAATTGCTTCTTCAAGTCTCATATGAAGTGGCCTCATGATGCATACTTCTGTTCTTTGCTGTTTGATTTGAATCTAATTTAGTAGTTTACAATCTGGATGCTTCTCCTTCTGAATATATTCTCCTTTGTTGTTAGCTTGTCTTTTATTCTATCATTTATTTATTTGCTTAGTTTTTTCCGCAAGTCAATAATACGAGGGAATTTTCTTAGCTGCTGTTCTTAATCATCTTTGTAAATAGCCGATGACATCTTCAATCTGAAGTCATGGTTTTAGTTCAGTATTCATTTCTTTTATGCATTTATCTATATAAGCGATCGTATGTTTATTATAGTATTTTCCTTTTTATTATAGTTTTTTCCCAGTATGTTAAGTGTTTATGATTATTAGGGAGTGTTGGGTAACTCTCAAAAGTGCTTCTAAAAAGCATTTTTTAAAACGAAATAAACTCTTTCATGTATTTACTTCGTAAGTCGTAAAAGCGCTTTTGAAACCATAGTTTGATTTCTATCTAAGTACTTTTGAAATCGAAGATAAACCGAAGAGGATTGGTTTGCTAGTAAATGTGAGCATGTGACATAGTCATTGTGCTATTCAGGTTTCTAAATCCAAGACTCTTCATCTAGCTCTCCCTCTTCCTCCCTCCCAAGACTCTGTCTAGCTCTCCCTGTCCCTCCTTCCCTGACCTATGAACGTGATACAGGATAATCAAGAAGTACCGAGTGGTTATTTGTGATGTCAACTAACATCAAATTCCCCTGAGAATTTCTTGTAGAAATTTTAATAATTAAAACGTGTGAAAGTACCAATACACTTTTTTTTTTTAATAAGAATGAGACTTGAAGTTTATTGTCACACTAAACTAGTAGAATCTTACTCATAATGGTCAATGAAAAATGAGAAAATGGCAAATGCAAACCCCTAAGTATGTGAAATTGTGATTTGGGACTCTCAATTTGAAAAATGACAAATAAAGACATAGTCCCATATTTTAAATATGAAATCTTCATGACATGTCTGAAATATCTATCGACCAAATGACAAGTTGAATATGGGAAATGACAAGTTCACTTTAACGAATGACAACTTTAGTAGACCAGATCACAACTTGACTGAGAGTATGCCAAATAACAAGTTGACTATGGAAATAACAAATTCACTTTAGCGAATGATAACTTCAATAGACCAAATCACAACTTGGCTGAGGGGCATTTCAGACATTTAACCAAGATTTCATATTTGTAATATGAGACCAGATCTTTATTTGTCATTTTTCAAATTGAGGGTCTCAAATCACAATTTCATATATTGGGGGATCTTTATTTGTTATTTTTTCATGAAAAATCACAGCTGAATGGAAGAAAATATAGAGAAAGATAAAGACCAACTTGAAGAGAAGAAAAAAGAAGTCACAAAGGAAGAGGATAAAAGAAGTTAGAGGAAAAGATTTTTAGAGAGAAGCTAAAGGTAAATGATTCCATACAATTTTTTTCACTGCCTCCTCACCACTTTCTTCTACTTTCCATCTGTATTAAAAAAAAAAAAAACTTTATGAACTTTTCTTTTAGAGAGAATTATAATAAAGTCCTAAAGAAAAAAGATAATTACAAAATAAGTCCCTTGTTATTTTTTATTTTGAAACTTGTTGTACTTTTTAGCAATTATTTTCTTTTTTAGAACCTCACTGTAATCTTCCTTTTTTACTATTACTCTGATATTTGACATTTGATGCCATTGCTAATAAAAAATGATGTAGAACAGAAAAGCAAAAGATGGATGCTTTTGTTTGTTTTTAAGCATATCTTCGAAAATCTTGCATGGCGCATTTCTGTAGCCTCTTATATATAAATATATATAATATTCATTTTTTAAATATCATTTTGTCTTTTCCTCATAAAAATAATAATATTCATTGAGCATTATCTCTATATTATACTAGTACTTATTTTCTCCTCCAGATTCGTATATTTACAAAAAAGAAAAAAATTGAAACTTTGGATAGCCATCTATACATGAAGAGGATAATATCCGTATAAAATAAAATAATCTAAAATCTGCAACAGATTTTATATGATACTAATCCTCATAGCTTTCCAGTTTTTATACCTGCATAGAGGGAAATAACTAAGATCCAAAATCCAAGATTCAAAATCTAAGATCCAAAATAAATTCAAACAAATCAACGAAAAATTCAAATAATACAAAAATTCTTTCGAAAAAAATTATTCAACAAAACTGTTTTAAAAACGTAAAAAATACAAAGGTAAAGTCATGCAACCCCCAGAATACCCTTAAAAAAAGGGGAAAATTAGATAATAGATCCATATACCGATCTCAGCCCCATGTCCCCTTCTATTTTTTGTTTTATGGGCCCGATTTAGCCCAATGTCCGCTTCTGTTTCTGTTTTATGGGCCCGACTTAGCCCAATGTTAATTTCGCTTTTTATTTATAAATACTACTCTAGTACTAGTTATAAGACCTGATACGTAGGCTATAAGCTATATCGTCCGCCACATTCACATTCCACTATTCCAGGGTTTCTCATAGTAACAGGCGAAGACAGGGCAATCTCCGGCAGCCGCTATGGTTCTCAAGTAAGTACCAATTTTCCCTTGCTTTTCTTATCTCATCTCTCTGATATGTGCGCGCGCTATGCATAATCAGGAGCTTTTGCTGAACCATGATCTCTAGGAATACTGTTATCTGAAATTCTTCTCGCGTTTTTGGTCCATTATTTTGAAACTTTTTGGAGGAAAATATATTCCAGATGAACTCATCGAGCCAAGCAGTTAACGAGAAGTTTCTGAAACTTAGTGCAATGCAATGCCCTGTCGAAAAGGGACTTTCTTCTAAGTTAGAAAGAGGCCTAAGGCCATACTCTCGATCGAGCATTATGGAAAATGTATAGTCCTGTGAAAATGCTCGTATTTACTTGGGATATAAAACATCTTTCCTTAGAAACACTGGAAATGAAAAATTGAATTATCGACCACTTCGTTCCCTGTAACAAATTAGTCTGCTAAAGGATTAGTTCTCAACATTTAGAAAATTTTGATCTATCCAGCTAGATCCATTGCAAATTCCTGTCTTTTCTGTTTTCCCAAGCTCCAAGCTGGACCATACGCAATAGGCATTGAAGAGATGACAAGAATAACTTCACTTGCCAATCATGCCTCTCTGGTGTTGTGATGAAAAAGTTCGTGCTTTGAACTGATTGTTGTGGTTATTATCTGTTTATCTATGATGACTTGATTTTGATTGAGTGGTACTGCTATTATTGCACAACTCGGTATTACTCCCCGAATAAATTGTAAACCAAGCGCCATTTTATTCTTTTTCCCCATCATAATAAAAACATGCAATCATTTTTCTAATTATTTTAACTGGTATTTGATGTTGGCATATCAGGACGGAGCTCTGTCAATTTAGTGGGGGCAAGATCTACCCTGGGAAAGGCATCAGATTCGTTCGCTCTGATTCTCAGGTGACTTCAATAGGATCAGTCTTTCATTTTCAGGGCTCATATGATGACCTATTGTTCACTAAATGGGTTCTTTTTATATTTTTATCAGGTCTTTTTGTTTGCCAGCTCAAAATGCGAAAGGTACTTCCACAACAGTTTGAAGCCTTCAAAACTCACCTGGACTGCCATGTACAGGAAGCAACACAAGAAGGTGTTGCTATGATCAAAATTACCGATAGTTTTAGTCAACCTTTAACTTGTATCAATTCCACATATTAAATTTCCTTGATTGTAAAGAATTCAAAATATCTAAATAAAACATATAAATCTAAGATCATAAAAAATTATTGGTTTCTACATGGGTGACTTCTTGCTTGTCTTGAATGTTTACTGCATTGAGGTGTCAGAATTAAGCACATAAACGGAATGTGTGTATTTGCTTATTGTATTCTGAAACTGTTTGAAATGTCTGATCTCTCATTGATCAAATGCATGATTCTTGTTTGTGTATGTGGTGTGTGCAGGACCTTGCCCAAGAGGCTGTGAAGAGGCGTCGCACCACCAAGAAGCCTTACTCTAGGTCGTTTGTCGTTGTTAATTTGGAAGTTACCCAGAAGAGAATTGTGCTTTGATAAATGTGCCTGTGGAGGTAGAGGGTGATGAATTGCAAGAGGACCGTTAACGCAAACGCTAACGCAACGGGTCGTTTGTCATTTATTTATTTACTTAGTTTTCTTGGGGTTCTGCTAGTGAATAATACCACGGAATTTTCTTAGCTGCTGCTCTTAATCATCTTTGTAAATAACCGATGACATCTTCAATCTGAGGTCATGGTCTTAGTTCGGTATTCATTTCTTTTTATGCATTTATCTATATAAGCGATTATATCTTTCTTATAGTATTTTCCCGTTTATTTAGTATGTTAAGTGTTTATGATTATTAAATATATCGGGGATAAACCCGAAAGGATTGGTTTACTGGTGAAATGTGAGCACGTGACGTGTGGTTACTGTGCTATTTAGGTTTCTAGATCCAAGACTGTCTTGCTCTCCCTCACCCTCCCTCTCTACCTACAAACATGATACAGGATAATCAGGAAGTACGGAGTGGTTTATTTATGATGTCAACTGACATCAAATTCACCCGAGAATTTCTTGCAGAAACGTTGAATAATTAAAACGTGTGAAACCATCAGTACACATTTTTTATACGAATGGGACTTGAAAATTTATTGTCACACTAAGCTAGTAGAATCTTACTCATAATGGTCAATGAAAAATCATCAATGAAAAATCACGGCTGAATGAAAGAAAATGCAGAGATAAAGACCAACTCGAAGAGAAGGAAAAAAAAAAAAGTTATAAAGGAAGAGGATAAAAGAAGTCAGAGGAAAACATTTTCAGAGATAAGCCGAATATTAATGATTCCATACAATTTTTTCATCGCCTCCTCACCACTTTCTTCTACTTTTCTATGTCAATGGCAAATTCCTCCAGTGCTAATGCCGCCTAAAGCTGATAATGAGTTTGAACCTGCAAGTCTAACTTGTCAAAAAATGATGGATTGAATTGGCAAAATGTGAGTTTGTTTTAATGCGGACCTTTTGGCTTGCGGCTTGTCAAACCACAACTTGCCATGAGCTAGGTTGCTTTTTTTTAATAGTTTTTTTTTACAGTTTTTATTTTTATTTTAATAAGAAAAAATTATTATTTTCACTCAATTTAATGTAGCTTTATATTTTGTTAGAAACTTCAATTTTAAATTTGATTTCTCATTTTCTTTATTGTTTTATCATTTTTGTATTAATAAAATAACTACTAAAAAAATTATATATTTATATTTGTAAGTTTTCAGATTAATTTATTTATAGAATTACATGAAAATATAAAAAATTAGAATTTAGTCTATAAAAGTTTATAATTTAATTTGAAAGATTAATATTACATATGTAAAAATGAAGAAAAAATGGAGGTTGACGGGTTCCTAACAAGATCGCATTGGTTGGATGTTAGCCAGTTAGGAGGCAGTCTTTTTAGGGCTAACTCACATGAGTTCCAACTCCTATCAACCCAACTCGCATTGCCATCTCTAATTGCCACTCATCACAAGTTTGAGTTTAGTATTAATATGTTTGTGTAGATGTATATGTAATCTGAAGAAGTACATATTTTGGCCTACTAACAATTACTTCATAGTCTGGATTCAAATGAAGTCCATTCACTCCATAATTAAGGATTGGTTTTGAAGCGAAAGCATTCTGAAACATTCAAGTGCATTAAATTTTGCTTACCATTTGTTGCCATTATAGAAAAGTTCCAACAGATGATGTAACATGACAACAGTCATCCAATAAAACCAGTAAAAGATCCTCATGGATTGGATAGGATGTTAGGTAATGCATCTCACGAAAAAAGGGCCATCAATATACATGACCCATGTCATGAGAAAAAGAATGGCAATTCTTAATATAGTTTACTCATCTTGCCCCAGTAATTTTCCTGACTTCTCAGTTTGATAATAAATTTCTACCTAAAATTAATATGGCCTCTTTTCTCTCTTGGGTAAAGATAACTTTTTGACCCTCGAGTTTGTCCCAGTTATCAGGATTGATTCCTAGAGTTTAACTTCTATCAATTAAGTTATTAAAAGTTTCATAAATACACACAACTAGTCCTTATGGTTTGAAAACATATAATCTTGGACATAAATAGTGTAACCTTATCTCAATGACAATCTCTTCATAAATTGCAGAAGAAATTATTGGTCCCATGTAATCGATCAAATAAAACTTTAAAATTGTGTATAAAACTTAAAGGACCAAATTAAACTGACATCAATTTCATTATTCCTTCTCTCTCTTTGTCCTAATCCATTTCTGAATGTTTCATATACGTTCACTTTTGCCAATACAAAAAATCTTGGATTGGAAATATTACCACAAAACAATCCTTTAAACATTTATCTAAAACCAACTAGCAGCATTAGAATTTCTACATTGTAGGTCCTCCTTTGATATTTTCATTAAGATTTAATAGACCTCTCCAACTACTTGCGGAAGACTATCAAAGAGATAGGCTTCATATGAGAGGTAATTATCACCAATACTACTTGGGATTGTTCAGAGCTGCAATGGAATTCGGTCCCATAACAGAAGCTCAAAGCTTTGACACATCGCCTGGAAAAAAACATGAAACAAGAGCACATCCAATTGAGATTTGAATTTTACACAGGAACATTTATCGGCATATACAACTTCTTTTAGTGTCCAAATTGTATCAGCAACATTTTGAAGACTACAAACTAAACTATAAAGACTTCAATGTCTATACAACTTTTTTAGTGTCCAAATTGTATCAACAACATTTTGAAGACTACAAACTAAACTATAAAGACTTCAATGTCTATATATTAGAAGATATATAGGTATAATATGACAAAGCTGATACATTCTTTAAAAAGAAGAAACGGAATGCAAAGAAAAAGCAATATATGAAACCATCTAATTCTTCTTCCTAAGATGTAGAAATCAAAAAAGCCAGTAAGCTTGTGAAATTAGAGGAACAAAAATAGAAATTGAGTCAAAAAAGAAAAAAGACAAAGATAGGAATCACCAATATAAAAGAACTAAAGAAGATTGCAGGCTTCTTTCACCAAAAAAAGAAGAAGAAGAAGAAGAAGAAGAAGAAGATTGCAAGCTTGTGAAATTAGAGTAACAGAATATTTTATTATGAATTTTCCCCGCATTCAATGACCAAAAATTGAGAAAGCCAAGAAAAATTTTGAAACTTACAGCATCCAATTCCCATCACAGTTTCAACAATGAAAAGAAAATGAATAATAGTAAAGCACAAGTTTCTTCCATCCCATACTACAAACCTGAGGTTTATCTTAGTAAAAATCTACTGAAGCAAGTCAAAACAACATTTGGTAAATGACCACATATTACCATCTGCATAAGAATTACGTAAAGTAAAACAGAAAATGTCCTAGAACAATAATTGCTCACCAACCTTTTGCCTTTTCACTATAAGAAAATCCTGGAGTACCATGTCGTCATGTCTAGTGACTTATAGAGTAATCGAAGTTGTACCATTAGATTTTATTGCCCTGGAATATATTACTCCCTCCAATCCTTATTATGAGCTTCAAATAACTAATTCATGGATAAAAACTATTAGTTAAAATTAGTTAAAAGTAATAAGTAGATTAGAAATATACTTTTGTTTCCAAATATGCCATTATAATAAATGAGAAAAAAGATGAAAGAAAATATGTTGGAAAATGTGATAGGAAAGAATATGGCAAGAGAGAGAGAATAAATAATTAAGGACAAAATGAGAAAAATGCATTAAATGTTAAGACAAAGTCAAATTGAAGCTTATAAATAGGACTGGAAGGAGTATTTTCAAGTACGAACACCAGAACTTCAATATGGCAGACAACTTCTGAAGTCTGAACTTTTGTCAGACAACTTTCCTGTCTTTCCAATCATTTTAGTGTGATCATCACATGGGTATTAGTTAAAAGAATCACCCCCAACCCAAGATTCTCAAAGGTCCAGGCAAGAGATCAAGCAAAGACATTATAAAAAGGTAACAAATGGGAGCCAGAAGAGTCCAAATGTCATAAAGTCTAATTTTTATTGGAATCAGCTCGCCAGAGTGACAAAGATGAACTCAAGAAGGAAACTCAGATTGACACAAACCCAGTCATCCCAAATAACTCAAAAACGGGATAAAAAGATAAATCAAAAAGGGATTACCAATGCAATGCCTTGGATCTACTCGGTGGAAGAATAACAGAGGTTCCTTGTCTTCATAGGCTATTGTGATGCCTCCTGTTCTCTCTATGGTGCTGTTTCTTTCATTCATTTATCATTATCTCCCTCTTGATTTGTTTCAATTGAATGCTTCTTCTTACACCTGAGGCAACAACTCACAGTGGGATCTGAGATAAGATAAATTTTGAACTTAAAAATTCAAGTTTAGATATAAAAGGAAGCAGGGGAAAAACAACAAAAGCAGAGCCCAAGAGGGAATCAAACTATTCAAGGCTTGTGAATAGTTCAGTTTCCTCCGGTTCTTATATTTAATCATAGTATAAAGTCGGAGGTTTACTTGTTATGTGCTCTGCTGTTTCCTTTAAATTTTGTTCGATCAACTGGCAGTCGGAGGTACTATCATGTAGAGGTAGCATTGTTCCTTGAAAAAATGAGTCCTTACATGCCCAAGTGTATTAGTCGATTGGATTACTTTTCATCCAACTCTTTCTTTTTCTTCACTTGGAAGAAATGAAACCCAGCTGTACAACAATAAAATCAGAGGTCAAAAGAGTGCTATAAATCAAAGTTTTTGAAGTATCGTGGAAACAAATTGCTCAGCAGCCACGCAGCTGTAAATCTCCTAACTTTATGACTCATCTGATTGGAACCTTGATCTATGAAGGGCTTTCCCATTCAAAAGAATCAAAACACCATAAATCTCAAAGAAGCTGCAGGGGGAATACAATCACTAGATACAGCAAAAGAAATCAACAATTTTTAGGTTGCATGGAAAATTTTCCATCATACATAAACTTTGCATCTGCCATCGTCTTGGATAAAAAGCATTAGCTAGAAGCAAGCTGAAAACCATGTTACCATTTAATATTAGCCTTTAAAACCACGATCTCCCGTGAAAACAAGAAATTATATTACTGAGACACAATACTGTATGTAAATTATCTGAAGTCATTACAATTTTAAATTTTTAGCTGAAGAATGAGAATTGATAACCACCCTTTAATTTGCATGTGCCTGTTGATAATGGATGCCAGATGAAAGAAAGATAAAATAATAAAAACGCTGAACAAAGTTTCATCGACCTCAGCACAGTAGTTGATAAAAAACACGCATTGTGGTTGCAAACAGTAATATGCATATTGTCAAGGATTAAAGTAGTTATTTCACTCGAAAAAGAAAAAAGTAGTTAATAGATACGCAAGTATAACAATGGAAGGATCAACACATGAAACTTTTTCTTCTGCAATATAGATACAACATTTCAAGCTTTGGTACATGAAAGTGCATGTAGATTCTAAATGCAAAAGAATAAAGCAACATGTATCGTGATTGTCATATTTAACCGGCTGAAGAGATATATGGTATCAACATGTATACGAAAATGACATGGTTTATAACTACATAGGAGTTCATCTCTTCATTTTTTTTCTTCATTTGTGTCTTACTTGATATTTGATAGTCACCATTACTTATAAACACGTAATATTGCCAAAATGAGAAGATAATGACGTTTGAGGAATGGGCCTTCCAACATATAGGATTTAAAGGAATAATTTTCATGTGAAAAATCAGAGGATAAGATTAAGAACACCAAAAATAATTATTTGAATGTCTTCCATGCAAGTTTGAAAAGGAACTTGGACCTTTACATGCTTATAAAAGGCATAGTTAAAGACCTCTTACAATTGGCATATCGGCATTCGTCACTGGATGGTAAGACATTTTTAATGATTTAGGTGTCTGTTTCTCAACAAGAGCTTGCTTAATGTGGGCAGCCTCCCCAGGCATTCCAGCCTTCAAAAGACAGGATCTCAAAGAATTTACAGTGATATCATCAGGAGCACAACCAACTGCCAACATCTTATGAAAGATATCAATTGCTTCAAGCATTCTTCCTTTCATACAGTGCCCGATAATGAGAATTGTAAATGTCACCTTATCAGGTTTGCACCTTTTCTGCTCCATTTCTGCTACAATTACGTTAGCTTCATCAACATTCCCAGATTTGCAATATCCATCAATGACTGGATTGTACATAAATGGTTTAGGAACAATGTCTCTCAGCTTCAATAATCTTAAAAATTCACGAGCTTCATGCAATCTGTTGCTCTTGCTCAAGGCATTGATAAGAACAGAGAATGTATATAAATTTGGGGTGATATTTTTGGCATTCATTTCATGCCATAGGTTTAAGCCATGATTCACCTGTCCAATTCGACAGTATCCATCAATTAGGGAAGTATAAGTAACAACATCAGGAACACAGCCATGGAAGAGCATCTTTTCATGCATGGCCAGTGCAGAGGTCATGTCACCATCCTTGCCAAAGCCATCAATAAGAGCATTGAAGGTGATTTGATTAGGTTTAACTCCACATCTAATCATTTCATCATAAAGATTAGCGGCCTCTTCCATCTTAGTCAACTTGCAATAACCAGATATTAGTGTCGTGTAAGTAACAACATCCGGGGCAAACTGACCTTTTGAATAAACTTGTTCTAGTAGATTCTTTGCTCTATTGACCTCATTAATTCTACAAAAACCATGTATAAGAGTGTTAAATGTAACTATATCAGGGGAACAACCACAACTTCTCATGTCATTGAGCAACTTTATGGCTTCATCAGTTTCTCCTGCTCTGCAAAGACCTCGCATTAGAATATTGAAGGTGCAAGTTTCTGGGCGAAAATGTGATCCCATATGCTCCCTAAATAAGGCAATGGCATCGTCTACTTTTTTCTGTTTTACTAAGACGTTGAACAAATCATTATAAACAACAGCACTTATTTCAAACTTACTGGACTTAAAATCATCAAGCAATTCCTTCGAAACATTAAACCTGTCTGCTAGTGCGTAAGAGGAAACCAAAGATCCCAACAGCCAACTATCAGGCAAGTGCCCATCCAACTTCATACAGTCATACACCATTTTTATTGAATCGTAGAGACCATCTCGACAGAGAGTATTCAGAAGCATATTATAGGTCAAGCGGGAATGAGTGATATTCAATCTTTCCCTACTAAATAAAAAGAATCCCAAACCCAACTTTGGACTGTTTAGCCTCTTAATAACCTCAAACACGAGTGAAGGAGACAAGAACTTACTAAAATAGCCCAAAAATCTATCCAATGAGTTTGAGCGGACAAAAATAGTACACACAATCTTAACAAACCAAGCTTCAGCTCTTCTAATCGGCTCTTTATCCTCCCAAGGCTTCGGGTCAGATCTTACATGAACAAGACCGTGGTAATAGGCAACGGCTATGTTGGAAACTGAAACACTTGAAGATCGGGATGTGACGAATAAGAGGGTCATCCGCTTCCCCACGCCATCAATGGAGTTACTTCTACGCCCACTTATACGTTCAGTCCCTGTAGTTCTTCTCGTATCACAAGATTTCGTCCAAGGTCTTCGATTCAAACCCCCGAATTTCATCGAGATGGAGGCAATATTGGTATAGCAAACATGGGACACCTAAATACTCTTCTCTATTCAGAACTTAGACACTGTGACAGCAAATGGAGGTCTGCTGGGAACGACCGCGCGAATGCAAGACATCCATGGTGACGCATTTGCTGCCAAATTGAAATCAGTAGCAATCCATTAACCATAAATTGGATAAAGATCCCAAATTCATATCGTTGGAAAAAGGGAATCAGCAACCATTCGAGCAGGACAAATAATGGCAACGAAAACCTTACCATCAATGACAATGGCGGACCAATGAAGTAGACAAAACCCCAAACACTCACCACTCTATTAAGAGATGCAAAAGAGGAAGATGAGAGAAAGAGAGCTTGGAAGATGACCAACAATGGTGGTCTGCTTCTTTCGCCCTCCCTTGCGGCGTGAGGGTGAGAAGTGGGAAAAAAACGGAGTATACAACCATTCGGGGGATGGGAACCCGCTGGGAATTTCTTTTTGATCTGATTAATGAAAACCAAATTATAATTTTAAAAATATTTTTATAATATATAAAATAAATAAAAATTTATTTCCTTTTACGAAAAAAATGTTAACGCTCTCTAGATCTCATTTAAATTATTTTGATTTTAGTTCTCAGTTTTTTAAAAATTGAAAATTTAGTTTTTAAAAAATTATACATTAGTACACTTTTTTTTGTCAACTATAAATCAGTACACTGAAAAGCTTAAAAATTAAAAGGTCTCTCTTCAAATGCAAAAAGTCCTTTATAAAGTTGGTGACGATGGTTATACCGGTACATTCTCTCAGGGAATCTGTTCTTATTACTTATCACCCAACAAAGCTTTCTCATTATAAGGAGGGTAACTTTTGTATCCCAGATAAACCACTTCCTTTAGGTGAGGGGAAGGTTGATACAAGAAATAAAAAGGTATTTAGATTAAACCAAACCATGGTTTAGAGAATGATTTTTAGAGAATAGATTTTTGAGAGAACAGATATTGTGAATAATAGATTTTGTGAAAAAAGTTATTCTAATAAAATAAAAGTATTGGGATAATTGTTATCAAAAGTACTTTTTATATGTATAAATTACTAAAAAAGGCATAAATTAATATGATAATTATATAAAAGATAGATGTTATAATATATTTTAATTCGAAGGAATAAAATTGTTAATAATATATTTTTACTAACATAATTAATAATATATAAGATAATGTAATTAATATAGGTATATATATATTTATAAATTATAAGATTAAAATATATTTATAGAAAAATAATTGAAGGGTGTTAAAGTCATATTACTGTTGGGATTTACTCTAACAGGCACAATTATATTCTCCAATTTAAGCCAGAAGCATAATGAATTTATTTTTTTTGAAACTATGGCTTTGAGTCTAAAACCATGGTTTTGGCCTAAAACCATGATTTGCTAATTTTCCTCCTGTTTAGCAAATTTTGGTTTGGGTTTCAAAACCATGATTTTGATCATTTCCCAAACAGGCCTCTAGTCCCAATGTTTTTACCTTTGCGTGTAAGCACTTGCTCCTAAGTTATGATTCAAAAATAGGTGAGAAAAAAAAGCCGAAAAATAACATAAAAAGAAATTAGAAATTGTAATATTCTAATTCAAACACCAAGAGTTCAAAATCTCAAGGGCGTGTTTGGTTGGAAGAGAGGGGAGGGGAGGGAAAATGAGTCCCTCCCCTCATTTGGTTAAAAATTTTGGAGAGGAGAGAAGCCAAAATGTTCCCTCCCCTCCCCTCCCCTTCTCTCATTTTAGCTCCCCTCAAATTGAGAGTTTTTGGAGGGGAGCTAAATTTTTGGACCATTATGTCCTTATAATTTTTTTAATATTTCACAATCACCCATAAAATATGTTATTATAATATTTATTTTACATAAAAAATATATTATTCTAAGTAAAAAATAAAAAATAAAAAATATTATAATTAAAAAATATATTATAATAAAAATTATATAAACTATTATAAAAATAAAAAAATTATTTAAATAAAAAATTATAATATTATAAAATTAATTGTTTTTTTTAAATATCTTATTTATTAAATATATTTTAAAGCTAAAAAGAGGCATAGCTTAAAGAGAATAAAATTTCAATTTTGTTAGAGCATATAAAATTTGTTAATTTGATTATTTAAAATATATTATTATATTAATTAGAATTAAAAAAAATACTGTACCAATTTTTTAATGCACATATTAACATAATAAGACTGAATTTTTATTAAATTATATTATTTAAATTAAGATGTAAATTAATTTATATAATATATCAATAAAAATATAAACTAATATGTAAGGGTAAAATAATAAATTGATTATTACTATCCCTCTCTTCCCCTTCTTGAATCAAACAAGGGATCATTAAATATCCCTCCCTCCCCTCCTTTTTAATCAAACCAAATAAGGTGAAGATAAAATCTCCCATCCCCTCCCCTCCCTCCCCTACCCTCCCCTCAAACCAAACAGGCCCCTAAAGGAGAAAGTTATGTCTGCTTTTATATTTTGTAAATATAATCAAATAACTAAAATGTCCTTATATCAGATTTTAAAAAAAAAACTATCAAATTTATCATTACTAGTACATTATTTGTTTTTAACACGTGTTATTGCCAGTTTGTAGTTTATCAATAAATAACGTGTCATTGCTGATATATTTTTTGTTATTTGCTATTCAATATTTGTTATTGCTAATTTACAACTTATTAATAAACTTTTTGATATAAGGGTATTTTTGTTATTCAACTATATTTACAAAATACCTTATCATGTATCACTTCTTTTCATGGGATTTTGAAATCTCAGATACCAAAATTAGGATATTACAATTTTCAATTTCTTTTCATATCATTTTCCAAAAAAAAAAAAAACTCTTCATAAGAATAAGACAATGTCATTTTTGTCCTTTCAAATAGTACCTCAAACAATTTAACTCTAACTAACCTAGGTAGTCTAGTTTAATTAAACGGATCGTCACACTTTTTCATTCTAATTCCTTAAGCTTTAACCCTAAAAAATTTTCCTTGATTAATCTTTTATAAACAACGTAATTAAAACATCTGAAATTTTACGGTTCTCATATTATTTTAACTAGCATATTATAAATTATATTGGGTTAATATTATTTTTAGTTCTTGAAATTTGACCTCATTTTGATTTTGATCACTAAAATTTTAAACCAATAGTTTTTGTCTCTGAAATTTGACTTCATTCTTGTTTGATTTAAGATTTTTTGGTGTGACAACCGTTCTTTCAACACCATTTTAGATTAAATCTAACAATTTATTCGAAAGATTAACCATGATAGAAAAGAAGAAACCTTAAAATTTGAAAATCGTTATCATAGTTAAAAGAAATAAACTTATAATACGAGCAACATCAATCGTTAACTTTGGCTTTAGACTTTCAAAGTCCAGAAATATCATTCAACCATTAGCCCAAACTAAAATTATATTTTCTAACATACAAACTAATAAATTATTTTTAATATAAGTTATAGGGCCCATTAGTCAAAAGTCAATACTTTCAAAAGAGTGTCACATGCAGAGTCTGAGGTGTCTCCAGCCTTCTAGTGACATGATCATACCAGATAGTAGTAATTAAAAGTATTAATTTACAACATTAGAGTAGATAAGTCCTATGTGGCAATATATGACAAGCCAGCACATAAAACAAAAGCAGGGAGGCTATACAAGTTATAACAGCACACTATGCCTCCAAAGCCTTCCATGATGGGCCACCACCTGAACTATTACCTGAAGATAGTAAAAACCACGAGGTGAGACAAACGCCTCAGTAACTAACTTTTCAACTCATCATACATACTAACACGTACTCATGAGGTGTCAAGTGGGGCATTTATTAATTCTCGAAAACATAGATATATAATTTCAATAATCCAAACCTCACTATAGGAGCTAACACACAAACCACATAAGTCTATCCCTCACTATAAGGGATTAATCAGACATATAGGTTTATTCCTCACTCTGGGGAACGAATAAGAAGCCACAAAAACCTATCCCTCACTATGGGAGACGAAGGAAGAAACCAACCAATGTGTACCAATGGCAGCCTTACCACGTGGTAAGATAACGCTCAATCCAAAGTCCAAATAACAACTAATCATTCACGTTATAACAAAAAATGTCTTAATCTTTTCCCAGTATAATCCATAAGATATAAATCATATATCTTTTCCAAACTTCTCAATCACAATTCCAAAAATCCCACAAGACAATTTTCATAGCTCAAAAGATATAACACATCTACTCAAGCTCCAAATAACAAATATTATTCTAAAATAGCAAAATACTCACAAACAACATATTAGCACATATAACAAGTGGAAAGTGGTTACCTCTTGCCCAAGTAATAAAAAGGATTACCACAAGGTCAATCTTTTGCTCAACTAATAATTAATCTACACAATTAATAACAACATATTATATAAGCTAATTAATTAAGTAAGCAAGCTTATATATATTAATTAGATTTCTAATTTAATTTAATTTTTATCCTAAATTTCTGCAACTCTCATAACCCAAAATTAAGTATTTTAGAAATAACTTAAAATTTTCTAACAAGCCAAATTATTTATTTATAACCTCCAAATTATTTACCTTAATAAAAAGGATTTTCCAAAATTTCTAAATATAAAATTATTATGTTCTAAATTCTAAAAATCTCACTTTAAGTTTAACCCTCAAAATCAAACCATCAAAAATTCAATAGCATTTCAAATATTTATAAATAAATAATCTAATCAAAATTTTAATGGTATGACTATCATATATATATATATATATTTCCATAAATAATAAAATTTTTGGTTATAATAATTATTTAAAAACCTTCAATCACCCAATAAATAAAACTAAACTAATTAAAATCTCAATAATATGTTACAGTACCCAAATAAATTATTTGGCTTAATTGTAATCAGTAAAAATATGATATAAATCATATATAACAGATTTTTCAACTAGAAAAATTCATTTAAGCACTAAAAACCAACAAATAGACAAATCTAACCGATTAAAATTAACAACTCATTTACCTCTAAATTTCCATGATCGTCTTTTATCAAAACTCCATATTTATATCATATATAAGTCTCAAAATTTTCTCTAAATACTATAGTAATAGTGTCATTAGGAAGTCTAAAATATATAAGAAATATTCATAAAGAAATTTTGATGAAAAGAACTATATTTGTGTACCTAGGTGATTCCTAAAACTTGTATTACTCTTTAAAATGCTAGAACTTCTTTGCTCCTCTCTCATTCTCTCATTCTCTAATTCTCTCTCTTTCTCTCTGCAAATGCCTCATCTTCCGCGTTCACTCTCCCTTTTATCTTTAACATTCACCTGCTCCTCTATTTTTTTCCCTTCATGCATT